GGGTGGTTATTTCATAAACGGCTGCAGGAACTAGCGGGCGGGACCTAGGGATGGAGAGAAACCGGTCCAGTGGGAGCAGGCAAGACAGAGAAAAGCCTTCTGTCTACAACAAACTAATCTTGTATTCTGAGTAGAGGAGGGAAAAAAAATCAAGCAAAACAACATTTAAAAAAAAAAGTTTTACTTCTGCTAAGTGGTACTCCAAATGGAAGACTACAAAGCCATAGACCAAGAACTTTTAAATAATGAGTCAGCAGACTTAATCTCTTCAGAATGTTGTTCTAATGAAAAACTCTGGGAAGAATGGGATGCAGATGTTCTATGCCTAGCTGCTCTTTTTTGTTTGTCTGTGACAGAATTTAAACACCTCACTCCCCCTGCTCAGTCTCCAGTCTCCAGAATGCTGGGATCACTAGCCTGGGCCACCTCCCAGTCTCTGAATTTTCAGGTATCTGAATCAACATCCCACGGTTTTCTTGCTTGTCTTCAGTAGCACAAAGTGGAAATTCATTTGAAGCAGGCTTAACATATAAATGCGGGAAAGTGAAAACCCAAGTCCAGAGTGTTCTTACTTACCACGGACTGTTAGCCAATGCAACGTGGAGATGAGACAAAACAGGATTGTACTCGGGAGACTTCACTATCTACCACACCCACATAAACTGTCCTTAAACCTTACCTCTCAGCTGCTCTTCCTGGTTAGCAACAGGGAAGAACACTCCAGAAACCTGTTATCTGATCTACCACAGCCCGGAGGAAGATCCACTCTCCTACACTGGCAAACACAGTCTAATACACAGTCTCTACTTAAAAACAGGTGACGGAAGGTGCCTAGGCTAGGCCATCTTTGCCCAGGCTAGGCAACAACAGGCAGTCAAGCCTGACAGACATTCTGAGAGCAGTGTTGCAACCCCAGACAGCTCAGTGTTAGCCATTTCATAGCAGAACTCTGGAGACTAGAGAAACCAGGAAGAGACCTAGAATTCTTTCTGCCCCTCCAAGACATGGGGCTGACGGCGGAAGCATGCCGGCTGATCCACATGCACTTAACCAGTTTTCCAACAAAACGCTTATGGGACTCAAAAGAAAATAAAAAAAAAAGAATTCTTCCCTCAACCTAAGTAATACAGCGAACCAACTTTCTTCATCCATGAAGGAAGCTCAAACACACGTAGGGCTATTCGGCACCCACTTCTCAGTGATACAGAAAGACGGGTGTAGGATCACAAATGCCATTAGAGCTTTGCATTTTCCTGAGCTGTCAGCCAGAGTTTGGGTCTCTTCTGAGACGGACTGGTTAACCTTTATTGCCACTACATCTCAAAACCATTCTGCCCAGGAAGGTACATGGCGAGTCACATCGCGAGTCAGGCTATTTAGTCAATAAAGTGGGAATTAGTGAGGACTATTAAAAAGAACTGATAAAAAGCTACAGGTCAAATGGACCCGCCACACCTACTGTGCATGCTACACGAAGGAAATATTTCGGTGTACTACAAGACTTTCTAGTAAGCCACGACTGCATAAATGGATGGGAATGAGCAGCAGGGCTAGAGAGCCCGACACCAGGTACACCTGAGGTACACTTCAGCCACGAACACAATCTTCATTACAATCAGACATTGGGGCAGGACACCGTCCATCAACTCCTACAAACACTTCACGCGGTTGAACATTTGAAGAAATAGTAATGGAACGATTGTCTGCATGGTATTGTTGTGTGCACATCTGTGTGGGTCTACGCATGCACTGTGTGGGAGGGTACGCATGCATGTGTGTGGACCCAGACATCGCTGTCAGCTGTCTTCTTCAGTTACTCCCTGTGCTCTCTCGTTGAAACTGGATACTCTTCAGGCTCGATGGACCAACCAGGGAGTCCCAGAGATCCCTTGGCAAGCACTCTGAAGAGTGAGAGGTCTCCCCAAACTCCAGTAGAACTGTTTTTATCTTATATCCTAACCTTCACAGTAACTCTTTAACATCGCAAGAGCAGCCCTGAGGCCCTAGACACCTAAAATACTTTAAGAAAAACGCTGCCTTTCCCATTAACAGTCTAAATGCAGAGGGTCCTGAACACACTTTACTTTGTAAAGATTCAATGACACACCCTATCACGCTCTTTTACGGCCTCACAGAAGTGTTACCCACACCAGGGAGGTCAGAAGCACTAGTGTGCCTTTGAACAAGCCAATTCCTGTGCTCCTACAGACCTGCAGGATCAGACTCCTCGGAGCAGGCATTAAAATCCTCCGCGTTTAACAAGCTTCTGGACTGAGTCTCTCTGGGACTTAGAGCTGAGAGCTTCAGGGTAACAGCACACCAACCCACACAGAGGAAAAGTTAAGAGAGGGGGAAAAAAATAAAAATGAATACCAAGGCGGATCCAAGACAAAATAAAAACCCAAACTACAAGTCATATGGCAGGAATGTTCATTCTTCTTTGAAGCACGGACGGAAATGGGGCTGTCTGTCCCCGGGCCAGGTCTGCCAGGTGGAAGAGGGGAAAGCAGGCAGGGAAGCTGGAGAGCGGTGAGGAAAAAAAAAAGAACTCCTTGGCAACGGTTAAAACAGATTCCTCAGGCCTAAACTGCCCACATGTTTTCCCACAGATCTTCCAGGTCTTCTCCTCTACAAAGCAGAATTCTGTTCAAAAATCTAACGGCCACTTGAAAAACTGAAATGGTGATTCGCTTTCTAGAACCCAGAACATAAAAAAAAAAAAACAACAAAAAACAGTGCAGAGTCCTACAAACTAGCATGTTTAACAACCTTAGTCCTACCCTATACAATTTCGGGAAAGACGGGCAGACAGATATTACCAAGAAAAAGGTACAAAGGGGAGGCAAGGTGGTTCTGCAGGTAAGTGTGCTTGCTGACAACCCTGACATCCAGAGCTCAAGTCCCAGAAAGAAAGCCAGCTCCTACAAGTTGTCCTTTACCCCCACACAGGAGCCACACCATGGGTGTTTTCCCCGCCTCCTACATACGAAAAGGAACAAAGGAAAAGAAAAATAAACTTCTTTCGAAAAGAATGACAAAAATAAAAACTATGTTTTAATTATAGGAGGAACAAAGTAGGGTATGACATTTCAGTTTACACACTGTTGAGATTTTGATTTGTTTTTAAGAAAGAAAACAAGGAAGAAAGGGAGGCACAAATCAACACCCCGTGTGGCGGGGGTTGTCACTTCCTGCAACTACTTTACACTACACTTGGTAAGGATTTGCAGCTTCTTAAGCTCGGGTTTCAGGATTCCCCTACACAGACACTTCCTTTACACTTGAGGTCAAAGGGAAAACTGAAACACACCAAGGTTGACAGGCTTCAGCAGCCAAACCACTTCTGAGAAGGGCTCGACCTGCCCGAACAGAAAGGCAGGTCAGCAGCCATTGGCACAGCACAGAAAGAAGCCACAGAGGAAAAAGAAAAATGTATCAGCTAAAACAATTTTACAAGCTCCTATTTTTTATTGTCCAATGCCCTTCGAAACTCATTCCAAGACCACTAATTGCAGGTGCCATTAGTCAGCACAGCTGATCCCACAGCACACTCTTAACAAGCTTGGTGGAGATGTGATGAAAACCACCAGGAACTCATTGCTAAGTACGGATGCTCCTGCATCCATCTAACTAGCACACAAGATGCTCAACTGGGTACCAAAGGGGCAGGGGGAGACAAAAGAGAGAGTGCGACAGTGAGAGTTTGTGGCAATCACTCGGGTTTACATAATTCCCCTCTGTAGCTTTTCATCTCCACAACCATGCAGAGACACTGAAAGTCACTGACTAAAGGAATTTTTATCTTGCCCTTTTATGTTATTTCTTCATACGAAGAATGGTCGTTTCTAATAGAGAACACGTTTTAAGAATCTGTGAAACAGCCCTAATCACTTGCATAAAGCTAAAAACAAAACCTAGTAGACCGCCAGAGAAATCACCAGACTAGCATCGTCCAGAAACAGAAGTACAGTAGCTTAAGGAAGGCTAACTTACCCATTCCGCCACTTTCCCATTTAGTGGCAACGGGGAAAGTTATTAACTGTATTTTCTGCATTAAATGGAGATCTCTCTGTACTCCCTAAGTCACTGTGTAGGCAACAATGTCTCCAAAGTCTTGGGAAATCTAACAGTCTATCCTGGTCCTTCATGAATGAATCTCACAGGCCCGGAACCTACCATTATCATCCAATTCTACTTAATATCTCACGAAACTCTTATTTTAATACGTAGAATGTGAGTAGCAATAGGTCCCTGGAGTTGTGGAAAAATATGTGCGTGTGTGCGTGAAAATACCGAGTAACTGAGATAGTAAAGACACAAAGTACTGACTTTGTATCCATGTATTTCTGCCTAAAAAGAAGCAAGGCAAAAGTTCTATCAGTTCTGTATTGTAGGAAGTGATTGTAAGTTGAGGCTGGCGACTTCCACCAAGTTACGGCCGGACACATCAATCTGAAACAGTCCAACCGTCACTCGTTATTTAGGCATAATGGCACTGACCATCAAGTGTACTACAGCTATGAATACAGCAGGGGTAAAAAAAAATGAGATAATACAAACAGCGCTCATCAAAGACATAAAACACCAACGGGCTAGCTTGCAAAGGGAGAAAGTGGCTTTGCAAGTGGCTCCAGCTGGGCAGAGCCTTTAAACTTTACAAGGGAGTCAAGCCGGCCCTGCAGGGAGTTCAAGTCCAGCCTTGCAAGTCCCATCCCATCCCGTTCTCCGGGAACGCTCAGCCTGCGGGATTGCGGCCGCCAGGGGCACACCCGGCTTCCAGGTGCGTGCAGCTCGAGCCCGGGGACGGCCGCGACCCGGAGCCAGGTGCAGACGCCGCTGGCCGTGCGGGCCGCGATGCTCGCACGGCCCGGACCCGCGGCGGCGGCAGCAGCAGCAGCAGCAGCCGGGACCCGCGTCGGGATGCCAGGCAGCCGGCTTGGAGCTCCTCTCCTGCCTCCGCGCCCAGCCGCGCCCAAGCCCGCCTCCAGCCCGAGCCTCACCCGCCAGCGGCCGCGCCGCCGCTAGTCCTGCAGGAGGCCGACGGGAACCTCCTCCTCCTCCACCGCCGCCGCCGCCGCCTCCGCTCGCGCCCAGGCTCCCTCCGGCTCGTCCCGCCGGGCCCCGCGCTCGCCCGCGCCTAGGAGGAAGCCAGCTCGTCCCAGGCCTCCTCCCACGCTGCCCGCCGCCGCCAATGGGCCCCGCCGCCGCGCAGCCGCGCACGCCCTCTGGCGGTGGAGGACCGAGCCGGCGCCGGCGCCGCCACCCTCCCCGGTCGCCTCTGCGACTCCAGCCCAGCCTTGCTCAATCTGCGCCTGCCACGTGGGAGCTGCCTGCCGCGTCCTCAGCCAGGGGCTGAGTGACTCCCCCGGGAGGAGGGAGAATGTGTCAGCGCCTCCGCCCTTAAGTCACACGTACAGAATCCCAACCTTTGAAATGACCAGCCCCCTCCTAGACTTGCATCAGACTAGGACCATACGGAAAATCTTCACTTGACTGCTAGAAACTAGGTAACTGATCAGAAAAATCCTATAGGCAGGACCATCACAGCAAATTCTGCAGCCCTGAGTGGTCTATCCAAGAAAAAAAGTATTGTTTGCAAGCCAATTTCTGTTTTCAAATTATTTGCAATATGATAAATGTTTTTCCTCTTTTCTTAGGAACTTTATTTTTTTTTGTGAGATTGTATGGGTCACTGGGAAATTAACACAAATTTTAGTATGCGCAATCTGAGAGTACAATATTAGATCATGCTTCAAATCCATATCTGAATAATTAGCAACTATTAACTATTATTTCTTGGGAAAATTTCATGGTTGGATAATTTATGGTAGCAAAAATTAAAAAGCAGACTATGGCAATTATGTTAACATATTTCAGCTTTCCTTCAAAAATATGAAACATGCAACCCAAAACAGAGTTTTAGATTCTGATGCTATGACCCAGGAAAGGGAAAGAAAGAGAAAACAGCTGAGCACCTTCTAACTGCCCAATACCTTTCTAGGTCTTTGAGTCACTGTTCTATTGCTGTGAAGAGACACCATGAACAAGGCAACTCTTGAAATCATTTAACTGTGGACGATCATCGCAGAGGGAAGCAGACAGAAATGGAGCTGGGGTAGTAGCAGAGAACTTTATGCCCTGATCTTCAGGCACCAGGTAGAGAACAAGAGACATTACTGGGCCTGGCAAGGGCTTTTGAAACCTCAAAGCCCACCCCTAGTGACACACCTTTTCCAGCAAAGCCACACCTCCTAATTCTTCCCAAACAGTTCCACTAACTGGTGACTAAGCTTTCAAATATGTGAGCCCATTGGGGAGGGGTTGCGTGCTCATTCAAACCACCACTTTCTTAAGGTACATGTTCTCATGCTTAGGCAAAGTAGAAATCTGTATGTTACTTTAATGAATCAATGAACCAAGATTTAAAAATTAGTTCTAAATCACTTGGTCAAAAAGCAAGTTGTGCATTTCCATTTGATTCCGCTCAGCCACAAATAAGAAGCATTTAGCTTTTACCTTATCACAAAGCTGTGGCCATGTATATATGCTATCCCTCTACTTCCTGTATCCCACTGAAAGAATTTAGGAAGCCTCTTGAGTAGGAATTTCCTGTTTGGGAATGAGCTTTCTCCTCTATAATTGAACAGACCAGTAAGGAAACTGTAGTTGCCACATTCTTAGAACCCCACTCCTGAAGCAGTGTTTCTTCCTAAAGGCTGTTTGATCTCCTATTCCCAACGCACAATAAGATGTAGCTCAAAGTCCTTCTGGTCAGCAATAATGTTAAGAATACTGAGTCACAACCAACATTGTTTTGTTTTGATTTGTTGAATAAAACAGAGCGTAACCATTCCCAAACACGTGCAGCCTGCACTCTGTGAGAATCTGTGTATCTGTGGATATGTCTTGTTTTATTTGTGTTATAATGTAGACTATTTATTTCTTACTTAGGACAGGTTGTGAGTTTTTGTTTTTAAGTCAATAAATCACTCCTTTAGAATAGTTCAGACTTAGCGTGTTTTGTGGAAAGGTCAGACTAACTTCCTGTGTTTCATTTGTCAGGGTTAGGGAGGCAGGGGAAGTATTTGGGTTTAATGAGCACCAGTTAAGGAAAATGCCAGACACTTTACAGCTCTGGGAGGTACTGACCAACCTAGTGTTCCTGTGTGTTATGACAGGTGATGATCACTTACGTTCTAGAGCTAATGTTGCGTGTCTACTTACTACGTGCCAGCACAGGTCTAAGATCTTGACATCTGCCCATTCATTTAATCCTATAAATACAGAGAAGGAAAAGAAAGAGCAGAAGAAAATTATGCCAGAGTTGAATTGCTAGGACCTCACAGGACCAAGCTGCAACCTACGCAAGTAAATTCATAGCCCCTCCCATTTTCTTGCCAAAGAAGAATTTTTATGGATCAGGCATGGTGCCAAATACCTTTAATCCCAGCACTTACTTGAGAGGCAAAGAGAGGGAGGTCTTTGTGAGTTCAAGACCAGTATGGTTTACATAGTGAGCTTCAGGACAGCCAGGACTATATAGAGAGAGTCTGTTTCAAAAAACAAACTGAAGAAGGAGGAGGAAAAAAGAGGAGGAGAAGATTCATCTTCTATTAAATGGGTGTGGGTTTTGAGGTAAAACTACAATCTGTGATTATAAAGATTCTATCATATTATAAAATACAAAAATTATAAAAATCCTCGGGACCTTAGTTAACTGGAATAGTCCATTTGGAATCATTCTTCTGTATTTAGAATAGATTATGTATAAATATGACCACCAAGGATTGCAGTTATTCTGCAAAGTAACCCAGACCAGGATACTAAATGATGAGAAACTACCACACGGGAGGGGACGGTACGTATCTCCAAGCTGTGCTGATCACCCACACTGGGGCAATGGTGTGGGTGTGTCGTATTGGGCCTCCAACCTGCTATGGTTTGGGTTGTTGGCCCCAGAAACAATTGTTAAAGTTTCGGTCGGCAGTCTGTGATCCTGTTGGTTGATGTTGGGACCTACCTATAAGAAGTAAGCTCTCAGTGAGGATATAAGATTACCAAGGGTGGATTCTTGATTGAGACATTGGCAACCCAACCACTTCCTTTCTCTCATTTGCCCTTCTGCCACTGTGAAATGAGTGTTCCCCTGCATGGGGTCTGAGTTTAGAATTCAATATAAGCATATTTTTATATCTTAAAGTAATCCTACTGCCCAGCTCCTGGCACGAGGTCCTGGCATGAAGTCCACAGGCCCAAAAGTAACAGTTTAGCTAACATGGATACAAATATCCTAAAAGCTGAGCTAAAAGAAATCCTGAGTTGATAATCTCAGGAATTTTGTCCACTGACAGAAAGCTAACACAACCCTAGCTGTGCTCGGAGCTAAGTGAATCTCCAGAGTGACTCTAGACGGTGCCAGTGGGCCTACCCAAATGAAAGCACCCACAGCATCCTGACATCACAGACATTTGTTAAGCTCTGACATGGTTTTTAAGATAGTCGTCAATAACGTAACCACAGAGAATAAGGCTTATTGAGCGGTGAGGAGAGCTGGCTGGGGATAGGAGTAGGATTACTTTAAAATATAAAAATATGTTTAAATGAATTATAGACACAACTGTGAGAGATGGCCAGAAACTCACTGTGCTTCAAAAAAAAAAAAAAAGTGGGAGGTATGATAGATTAATGCGAAATACAGAGTAAAAGTGGCAAGCTTTATAGTCATACTGGGTAAAATATAAAACTCAGGTGTAGTTTAAAACTATGATTCAGAATTTTTAGAACAAGGTGCACTCAGAATTTTGAGCTTTGTTTTTGCTCATAAAAACAATAATTATAGAGAGGCTAGAACCTTGACCCTTTTCATAGCACTGAATTTTGATAAGTCCATAAACTAAGTGGTTTAATTTGCTATGATGTATATATAAAACAGAATATAATCATTTAATCATTTCCTTTGCATAAAAAGCATGCTTAAGTTTTCAGTCTATCCCTACTTTTCTATTAATGTAAAAGAGAATTCTAAATGCTCAAAAAGTTTGCTTGTTTAAATAATATCATTTCCATTCTGCTTCAAGAGTATCTTTCAGTGTGCGAAAACTTTAGCATTTTTGTCTAAGTTATGAGTAAAATTAGGTGAGAGTGTATAAGATGACCCATATCTTGAAAATGTATTCAAGTAATGACTACGAAGCAGAACCCCTGCCCTTGGAATAAAATGCAGATGTATATAACAATTATTAAGATTATTAATGGATCCCTCAAAATTACTTTGTAATTCTGTCTCATAACATATTACTCTCCCTTTTAACCTCATATAGTAGCTCATAACTATCCATAACTCCAAGTCCAGGGACTTGGACTCCCTCTTTTAACCTCTGAGGGTACAAAGCATGCATGTGATGCACAGAGAAACATGCAAAGCATATATATATATATATATATATATATCTGTATATATATATCTTGAAATAAATATATCTGAATATATATATACAGATATATTTATATATATGAATAAAGTAAATACTGTAAAAAGCCGAATGGTCCTGTGCCACTGCAGGTTGGTACGCAAGCCAGGAACTGGGCCCGGAGACTTAAAAACACACACAGAGACAGACACAAGTCATCCTTGAGACAAGAATGCCCACTTTATTGTGCTCAGGAGCAGCTTATATAGTGCACTGGCCACGCCCCAGCTCTCGGGATCTTTCAGCTGCAGACCCATCAGAGCCCACTCCACCATCAGGGGCTCCAGCTCAGAGCAGCTACAGGCTGCTCAGAACAGAGGAAAACAAGCTGTTTACCAGAAATTCAGGGTCTGGGGGTCCACAGCCTCCAACAGCTCCCAACAAAATACATCTAAAAATATTGTAAATTTATGTTTGTCGGATTTTTAAAGCTAATGCTGTAAGTATTTTCTTTGCCATAGAGCAAATAGGAAAATGTGACTGCACCTTTGACCTTCCTGTAACTCAATGAGATAAACTTGAGTCAACAAAAACACTTCTGTGCACATACAAAAAAAATAAAAAAAAAATTGGCTAGAAAAGCTTTACAGAAAACACAACTGAACAAATATTGAATAAAGTTGTGTTATTCTAAGATATAACTGCTTAGGTCTGTGACTTCATCA